TTCCAAAAAGGAACGGGTTTAACATTTGGATATTTTCATTTTTCGATTTTGACCTTTATTGAGATTTGTTGACCTATATCTTTTGACCTGAATAATGTAGAAGCTTGAAATTTAAAACACAACGTAACATTTGGAATATCAATTACCCTATGCAAAAAAATTAAGGTGGGCGTGGCACATCCGGGTAATATTACTCATTATTGATATTTTTGGCCAGGAGCATAACTCGCAAAGTATACGTTTGTTCAAAATGGAACTTTGCATACAATTATTTCATGAATTGAGCCACTTTGTCTTAGAAGTTCGGTTGTTTCCGCTTCTTAGTTCAAAAAAAGGAACAGGTTTTGGAAATTCAAATTTTCAATTTTTGACCTTGACCTTTGATGACCTTGAACTTTATTGGGTCAAAGGTCATTGACGTTGTCTATTAGTTTGTGCTTTCATATTTGACCTCTGACGTCTACTTTCGCTTTTATAGCTGTCCAAAAACATCCAAATTCGCAACTTTGGACTGCTCTAGCACGTGACCTAATTAACCTAGAGAGTAAATTTTTTCGGTTTCCTAATGTGCTTCTCGTGTACTTTACATAGATATATAACAATCGTTTTTTTAAACCAAAATTGAAATTCGTGATTTTCTTCAAATTTGAGTTTTTTTTTTCACAATATTTGCGACTTTTTGAGATTAGTGTATGTATATGTTATGATCTATTTGATGTAGAACCTTGATATTTGGAATATAACTAGACACTTTGAATATGAATTCACCTATGACAAAAAAACTTATGTGGGCGTGGCACATCCAGGTTGAATTACTAATTGTTTACATTTTGGGGCTGGGGCATAACTCGCATAGCATGCGTTTGTTCAAAAAGAGACTTTGCACACAATTACCTCATCCTTTTGGCCACTATGTATTAACAGCTCAGTTGTTTCAGCTTTATAGTTTCAAAAAAGGAACGGGTTTTAACTTTTGGATATTTTCATTTTTCGATTTTGACCTTTGTTGACTTTTGTTTACCTATATCTTTTGACCTCTATTATGTAGGAACTTGACATTTGGAACATAACGTAACATTTTGAATATTGATTAACTTATTCAAAAAATATTGAGTTGGGCGTGGCACTTCCGGGTTTAATTACTCATTATTGACATTTTTGGCCAGGGGCATAACTCGCAAAGTATACATTTGTTGAAAATGGAACTTTGCATACAATTACCTCATATTGTGAGCCACTTTGTCTCAGAATTTCGGTTGTTTCCGCTTCTTAGTTCAAAAAAAGGAACAGGTTTTGGAAATTAAAAATTTTCAATTTTTGACCTTGACCTTTGTTGACCTTGACCTTTGTAGGATCAAACGTAATTGGCATTGGCTATCTATTTATACTTTCATATTTGCTGTCCTATGTCAACTTCCGGTTTTATAGTCGTGTGCAATTAGAAATTTTGATGACTTATATCTCTTAATCTTGAACTTTTTAGACTTTCTCTTTTACAAGATCAAAGGTCATTGACCTTGGCTATCTGCTGATACTTTCATTTGTGAGGTCTGGCGTCTACTTCCGGTATTAGAATCTTCTAAAAAATGAAAATTTCTCAACTTTAGACTGTTCTTGCACTTGATCTAATTATCGTGGAAGGATGATTTTTTCGGGGTATTTGCTACATTTGCAAAGTCCCACTCTGTGCCACGAGTGGCTCTAGTTTCTGGTTGTTCTTTCTGTCTTATCAGCATGCTACTTAAACTCTTATTCAATTGTAGGAACTGCCAAGCCCAAGTGCCAATTGAACATCCTGGACCAACAACAGGGCATCTTGGCAGTATAACTATAGTTAGTTATAAGCTAACACCAAAGATCACCCTTGAGCTTTTGTTACCTGTTTTGTTTTTCAGGCTGAAGAAATTAATCCTAAAGCTTATCCTCTTGCCGAAGCTCAACTGACTCAAGGCATCCTGGATTTAGTGAAACAAGCTTCAAATTATAAACAGATCAAGAAGGGGGCCAATGAAGGTATCGTATGGATTCTAGCGAATAATCCCCATTTTGTCATTAAGCCTGTTTTTTCATGCCTTTGGTGATTTCTGAAAACACTTGCCGAAAGGTTTTAGTGACCTACTTTAGTCACAATTTCTGTTTTATTAAAGCTGGCTTGCAAACCCCTCATACCCTTTTTTCTGGGAAAGATCAATGTCGAGGAGTAGCTGGTAGAAAGGATCCTGATGAACCAAAGTTGTTATCAGATTGATATTTATTCTATTTCAGCCACCAAGACGTTGAATCGTGGTATTGCTGAGTTTATTGTCATGTCTGCTGATGCCCAGCCATTAGAAATTCTACTTCATCTACCTCTTTTATGTGAGGACAAGGTGAGTTGAGGGTTGAAAAAGTTGTGGAGTTTTAGACTTTTGATATCCAATTCTATCAACAAAAACATTTGTATCTTAAAGATGTGTTATTTGTGCACCTTGATTTTATATTGTTTGTATAATTTTTTCTGATTAATTTTGTTTTTAGGTATATATAAGTTAAGCTAGATGCAAGTAAGGCTTTTGAGTCTAATCTCTGACCCTAATAAAGAGATTATAATGTTATTAATTATTATTATGAAGGAGGGTTGACATCTGTTTCAAGTTGTACTTGCCACTAGCAAAACATTTTATTTTCTTGTGGCAATAGTATGACTTGCTTGAGGTATTTGCTCTATGATTCATCTACCTATACTTAATTCTACATTTATCTTTTATTTTCAGAATGTACCTTATGTATTTGTCAGATCCAAACAAGGTGAGTGTTGTATATTTGTTGTTATTTTTATTTCAACTAATAAGGGATTGTGAAGAGGTTTTCTTTAAAAAATTTTGTGTATTGGGGACATTGATAGCATCAATTTGCACCATTGTAGATATTGTTTTGATCTCTTATCACCTCTCAAGGTCTGTGATATTCCAGGAGTGTTATTCACTGATCAAGATAAACAAAGGAGTTGGACAGAAAAGCACTGTTTGATATTCCATTTTTTCATGAATTCAGTTGAAACCTTTATTGCATGTAATTGGATTCTGTATTTCAGCATTAGGAAGAGCTTGTGGTGTATCACGACCAGTAATTGCGTGTTCAGTTATCAAGAAAGAAGGATCGCAGCTCAGCAATCAAATCAGAGAAATACAAAACAGTATCGAAAAACTCTTGATTTAAAAACATGGACTGAAATTTTACACGAACATTTCTAAAATAGGAGGTGTTCTTTTTATTGTGCTACTTTTACCATGTTGAATATTTTACTGTATAGAGAAGTAAGGTTAGAGATATTTATGTACATTTGGGGACGTTTCTGAAATCTAACAGGAGTTAGAGTCCCATCAACATTAGACTGACCTAATATAAATGAATTAAGCTGCAAAGAGTAATTGAACTCTGATGCCAACTGATAATAACTGTAATCTAGTAAAATTTCCCTTATTTCACACTGCCTGGTCAGTCTTCAATAGCCTAATCAGCTGTAGTAAATTAGAGTATAAAACTTTGTATCATTTTGTGTCAGAGTAGAATACATACATCATACATTGTGTCGCCCTGTATTTATGCCTTGAATTGAAATAGAAAATGAGGAAAGTTGATCATTTCTATGAATGGAATCTTCCCTGGATGTTCATAAATATCTATGACTTACTATTAAACAGTAAAGATATTATTCTAATCATATATATCATCCATTTATACAATAGTTTTGTATATATTGATATAAACACATTTATTCACATTTATAAGTTATGTTTTATGAGTATGGTACCTCACTGAGATCAAGGTCTGGGACTGTTAGTCGGAAATGATTTTGTGAAACAGAGATCCTGGGTTAGATCTGTTTAAGGCTAAGGTATTATTTTTATAACGAGATGGCAACACAATTTGTTGAAAGTAGATTTTTAACAAAGTATCCAGTGGCAATGAAGCCTGACATAGGGACTAAGATGATTTTTTGGGTAAGCAAAGTGAAGTGCCCTTGACATTGTATATTTCAAAAGTGTTGGTTACAATGATGCTGTTGATCTGACTTCATCAGCCCAATAAGGTATACACAATCCATAAATTGCTATAAATTTTTATTATGAATATATTTCAATCTTTGATTATCACATTTTACACTTTACATATTTACAATCGGAGCACCGTAACACAATAACAAACAACATCAATTATTTAATATAGGTCTAAAGGTGGATTTGCCTCACCTATGTCCAATACAATTACTAGCACTTGGACATCTTCACAATGTCAAGATATTACAAAGAAAGGTGGCTACTGCAGTCAAGGTATTAGAGGCAGTTAGTAATATCTTGACAATGTGAAAATGGCACTTGGGACACAAACAATAAAATGCACTATACATTAAAATTTAACTTATAGACAGGATAGGGTGACAGGTGGTTAAATATCAAATAAGAAGATCTACAAGGGACCAGGCCCCTGGGCAACATAACTTTCTTCATACTTAGTTGAAATTTTACTCACAATTAAGCAGCTATTACAATGTATAACTGATTATGATGAAACTATATCAAACTATTTTAGGTCACACCGTTTCTGGCATTATCACATTAATCTTCAATTGTACATTTTCTTGATGTGAGGAGAATCATGAAACTAAGTTAAGCATGAGAAATGTTTTGTGGTCTGGGGCCTGGTTTACTTTTAAAGCCAATAGGCCCACACCATTGTGCATTTATCATAATACATAATATACAGATTCAAAGGGTACAAAAGTTCAATACAAGATTGCCTAATGCAGATAACCCATTAAAATTAATAACACAAGAAAGAAATAACAACTATAAATAGTAACAATTATAACAGGATGTAGTCCCAGTGGCGGAGTCAGGTTGACATTGGAGGGGAGGGGGTTAAATATCTGAGGGTGCCCTCCCTTTGGCTCCGCCACTGTGTAGTCCTAAACTATCTGATTCTATGAATTGACAGGATTGACAAGGAGATAAATATTCCAATACATTTAAAATGTAGGAAAAGCATGCATTTAACTATCTGTTTACACTTTTTTCACAATGGAAATTCAAAATGAGACTTTGGTATCTTTATCTGAAGTAAGCAGCATGGGATGAGTTCAAGTCAATTAAATCAAAAATAAAGCTACGATTAAATGCATACTTTAAGCGTAACTCAAAACATGATGTCATGTGTTCGTACGCTGATTCAGCAAAACTGACAATGTACATAGGAGGAGATCGACAGTATTGATGTTATTAAGGGGATTCCCCCCTTTTGGCACCTTGAAAGCTGTCTTAAGCCGACTTTTTGATTTGTTAAAGATATGAACAGGATTTGCTATAGGCTGTTTTTACTGAGTTTGTGTGTGAGTTTGCATACAAGTTTAATCATAGCTTTTACCAAAAGTCAAACTTTGTTTATGAAAAGTGTTACAGATAGCTGAAATTGAGCTGTATCAGCTGGTGAAACAAATATTCAGACAACTATACAGATAGCTGAAATTGAGCTCTATCAACTGAGAAAAGCATGTATTTGATTTACTACATGGTATTCAGTAAAATGCATAGAAAACAATCAATAATTGAGCAGTTTCTTGGCATCTACAGAAAATAAATTAGTGTAATGTCACAAATAATAATAACAAAAGAATAGATTAAGATGGGATTTCATATACCAATTAAAACAAATTGCTATTTTCAAATAAACTACTCTCAAAATAACAAATATTGATTACAAAATAATAGAAAAATATTTTTGAGCCTAAATTGTGTATTATTTGTTGCATTTCAAAGGGATGATAAAAAAGTTTACAAGCTGCTCTTATAGCCTAGTAACTTATCGTCAAAAGTGTGTTATCACAAAAGATTTTGCAAATATTGATATACAATCACAAACAAGCTGTCCTGATGAGGGTTGTATACTTAAAATGTTTCTACAAATTAAGAAAAACACATAACACTTTGAATTTGGCTTTGCATAATTCCAATTGTCCATTAACATAAAATATTATACAATTACTATATTAATCAGAACTTGGTGAAAGAAAGGGATATCAGAATCGTGTAGCTATGTGTCCCTCGAAAAACGTTTATAATCCCTTTTAGCTTTTGTATTGAATCTTTCATTCAGCATTCAAATTGAAATGATTTTTAAATCTGGAAAACTGACCATCAATCATAATTCTTAACCAAAAACTGCTCCACAATTCACACATCTTCTCTGTCGCATGGCCAAACAACATAAGATACCGATGGGGAAAAACATGATGGCACAGAACACACCTAGACATGTAAAATCATCTTCTAAAACACCCACCTGAAATATGAAGGTAATGTTTAATGTTTCCACTTCAAGTTAGTCGAGAGAAATCCTTGTTTTATGAATTTCTTTTGGTTGAAAATTTTGAAAGTTTTCAAGAAAATAGTCTGTTAGACCATAAACTTAATTTCAAACTCTTCATTATGCTTATGAAATATTATTATTTCCAAAATATATACTTTGATTTGATGCATACTGCCACTTTCAACAAATCTTTATCAATTGATCCAAGGGCATCAAGAAATTAATCCTGACATGTTTGGCTTTATTAAAAGAAATGACAAAAAGTAGTGAACCTTTCATGCTATTAGATAGGAATTACAATAAATAAAGCCCTTAGAACTTATCAAAATTCTTTTCAATGGTACCTCAGTTACTGCTTGATAGAAAAAAACATATTAGCCACATTCTAATTTTGAAATTACCTGACCATGGCTTTATAGAGACTTAAAGACTTACCCTACAGGCTGGACATCCCCCTACCATCACTACAGCTGTCTGGGGTTGGGCTGAAATATTATAACTCTGCTGATACCCTGGTGCTGCCCCTGCTGGGGGGTATTTAGGCTGGTTATACCCTCCTTGTGGTGGGGGTACGGCTCCTCCTGGGTATCCTTGGGGTCCTGGATAGGCCCCTGCTGGAGGGTAACCTTGTTGTGGTGCTGTAGGTCCTTGATAGGGTCCTTGATAAGCTCCTGCTGGGACAGACCCATAATTTTGTCCCCCTGGAATATTATCAAAGATATAATAGAATATGTTATTCAAGGAAGATTCAGAAGTTTTTTTAAAAAATGTACTGGGTATTACCAATTATGTTAAGAAAGATCCTGATAAAAGGGACACAAAATAATATCTATTGTGATATTGGGTAATATAGCTATAAATAAATAATTTTTCTTTTAATGGATTTATTGTCAATAAAGTGCCAGATTCATTCACCACTGTTGTCCCCCTTATTAATACATAGGGACCTGGGTTCACTTTATCTATACATAGGTCCAAATAAGGTAGTGAATTTTAAACAATCAAAGTGACCTGTTCCATTCAATTTGGAGTTTTCAGTATTCATGTATTATTCCCAAGTTCTATGTATGTGTTCATAATTACATAACAAAGGTTAAAACTGGCTATGTTCAAGAATGTTGATTGGTTGGTATGATAATCACATGGCATCATGAATACATTATATTACCTTTCCCCTAATACAAGATTTACCTGCTAAATCAAAACACGGTAGAAATGTGTATTGGTTTCCGAGGTGTTGAGGAGATAATAATAATAATAATAATATTTCACTGTCAATAACAATAACAGGAAACGCAAGGGAATATATTATGGTATAACACACTTCTTTAATAACAATGACATAATGTTTAAACACAATTTACACGCGTCATCATCAGATGAAATAAAGAAGGGGGGAGTAAGTCGTTCAAATCTTATCTCAAGAGAAAGAATCAAGCTTACAATCATAAAATATTATCTTTAATGAACACTCACCTGGTTTATTGAAACCTTCACTGTATGGTGGTGGAGCATCAGACATCTTGGATCAGTCTCGTCTTCAATAACTGAAGAAAAAATATAAAGACCTGTAACATCAATAACAGACACCTGTTAACTTTACACTAAACCTTTATTATTATTGGTACCGTACTTATTTATTTATACAATGTTTCCCTTTGACAGGTTAACAAATATCATGGATATCTGTGCCTAAATGATTTATGACGTCACCCCCCCCCGCAAAGGTCTTATGTGATACAAGCAGATTTTCCGGGGGTGATGTCATAAAACACTTAGATTTAGTGGAATTGCAGGAACCACAGAAGTCTGATTGCAAATTAGAATGGTGTAAATTGATGCTACCTGTGTCCCCAATACGCATAAAAATTTTTGAAAACCTCTTCACAATCCCTTGAAGTACTATGTCCCAGTTTAATGCCATGCCATGTTACATGGTCACCCTTCCCCTTAAAATATTACACCTTTCTTTCTAACTTCAATTTTAAGGATCAACATAGCTAACCATTCTTACTGGTGTATGCTTTCATTTGACAATTGACATTGACATTAGTAAAACGCATTGTAGTAGGCCTATATATAACACAGGTTTAAAAGTTTCCTTGGTGTATTTTGATGATCAACTTCCTTGTTTTGTAAATTTAAAACATCATTAGACTATTCCTATTCATGAGAAAATTTCACTAAAACTTCAATCAAGGAGGCATTATTGAAACTGTGTGAGGAGGGTATTATTTATCCCTGACGAGCCCCGTGTACGTAAAACGAAATACATAAACGCAATTTAATGAAATGTGACTCTGATATGCAGTAAAACTGTTCTGTATTCACTGATATAAATCATCATTCAAAAAACCTAACTGGCAAACCCCATAGCAGGAAGAGAAAGATTTTGATCAAATCTTAGTTTATCAACAGATATGGCAGCCTTGACAGTCATAGATAACGAAAAAGGAATCAAACACCATTATTGAAAATAACTTCTACTTACCTTTTCAGTAATATAAACGACGAAAATAGCAGTTTGGAATTATTACAAACCGTCTTGTGACTTTTGTGTATAAAATGGTTGTATCACATGATCAAACCAAAGTGTCAAATGGCGTGCCGTGTGCAAAATCAAACAAGAGTTAGTTCCCTTTAGTAAAGTAAAAATGTAGTTGTCTCCCTTTATACACAACTGCGATAGGAGGACTGATTTTGCCGTCTTCAGTGTGGATTTATAGAAGGCCTCCGTTTTTTAAAACATTCTTTTACCTTCAATGAATGAATAGGCTAGTGCCTACGCATGGATTGCATCAAATGCATAGAAAGCATAGCGTAAATTCCAATTTTCTGTACAGTCTAAAATAGACTGCGAGAGGCGTAGTTTCATAATAGCCTAATAAAACCTAATAATTGCGCTTCAAAGCATCAATTTCATACATAGCCCTAGTCCCTCGTCTTATAATTTTACTACATGTAATGTGATAGTAAAACGGGATTCAATCAAAGCGATAGGACTTATCGTATCGCAATTTTCTAATCAAAACAAATTAAAAACTTTAATCTAAATAGTAGGCTAACGTTTTATCTACGTTTTACTTCAAGGGAAGGAATTCTCTCAAATTTTAATTGACCACTGAGCAAAATCTAAAAACCCAATTGTGGTCCTGTAATGCGAACTAATTCTCAACGTTTTGGATGTAACGTGGGCACCTCTGAAAAGATGTAATAGAGTACCATACTCCTTCTGGCTGCCTCTCACTTACAATGTACCCAAGGCCATCTGATATCCCAATAATCTTTTTCGTCCCTTCCATCGCATACCTCCTTCCAAATCTCGCTCACACCAACGCCAGGTTTACCTTTGTCAACTGTCGGAGGGTCTGACACGGAAAAAGCGTCTGAGTCGTTCGGATGGGACAATCATCTGAGGCCCATGTGCTACAGATTGTGTAGAAATAATAGGCTAAAGCCGGAAAAATTTCCCTTATTTTGCCCATATTCATTAGTTCAATTACAGGTGTAAAAGAGTATGGCGTAACTCCTTCATCCATTCATTTCCTCACCCCATTACGAAGTTCGTCCTATACCTTGACATCATTAAACTTAAAGCTCTTATCGTAATTAGAATAGATAAAAAATGAAAAACAATCAGCATTTTAATTACAGACCATCACAATGGTCATCCGATACTAGGACAGATCAGGTCAGATAGACACTATGATAGCAAACTAAAATTGTTCGAATCAAAACGATCTTGAAAAAGTTTAACGACAACATGGCGTTCAAGACAATCATAGGACTCTATATTTGTGTTATAATCTTTTGTGACACTACCAAGGGGGATAACCAATTGATAATTGGGCAAATCGAAGGCTTAAGACGAGAGATAACCAATGCATTTTTAGAATTAGAAATTCAAATTCGCAGGGAAGAATCGGAAATACAACGATTAATGGACAAGTCGCCAGTGGCTACTGAAATAAAGTGTGGTAATGAAACTCTCAATGGTGACGATTCTGATATATTTTCCACCAAAGTATGGAATTTAAAACAAATCGCAAGTCGCTGTCATGTTAGAGTTAATAAAATCAGGAATAAAGTCAGAAATGTGGAGAATGTTTTTAAATCCAAGGTAAATCTATGTCTGATTCCTATAATTTCAAATTCTGCCGAAATCTTTTCACTTTATATAAAAATTTTGTAAATTTCACAAGAAACGTGCCGACAAAATGTTGCTATATTTATAATCATTTCGCATACAAATAAATAAATACAATTGCCATGCCACGATCCAAAACCTTTTAAAACTGACAGAAAATTGATCGCGCCGTTTTGGGGGGGGGGGTTGTATTTTATTTTTCAACATGAAAATAAGACATTGATATCAGATCTATATAATTAAAGTTATAAGTTATTTTCAAACTAGCGTATACCTCGTGGCCTTTCAGTGAAAGTATCCCCACGCCCCTTCCCACCACCCTTAGAAATGCCACTTCGTATATAGATCACTATATTAGAGCCTTCATAGTTTCGGGCTATTTTAGTTTCAGCATGAGAGACTTCAATGTACGATCTACACAATACTTGTCATTTTGAAACTTGCGTACAAACTCAACACCCACCCCAACTCGGCAAATCCCTATAAGTCTTGTGCCTGTGCTTTTGTAACTTTGTCATTAGTACAAAATTACAACTTTTACTCCCTAATCCCAACCCCCATTAAAAGACTTCATGGTATTTGGGTTTTATATTTCAGCATGAGAAGAAGACGTTGATATCAGATCTAGAGAAATTGGAGTCTGATTACCGAGAGGTTGTTGAAGATCTTGACATCAAGAAGGAAGTAGTATCGAATTCTGAGCTGAAACTATCAGAGATCAGAGATCAATTGTTTTATTTGACACACATAGATACTAGTACCATGAGATACCTTCAAACTCGGTCACCATGGAGACCAAATCTAGTTAAATTGGGTAAGTATATCGAGATTTGTCATGTTAAAATAAATTATTTAAGACATCAAATTTGATTTAATCTATCTCAATCAAGAGAAGAGACCTATATTTTTTATTGAGTGATAATCCTTGTTCCAGTACTATTATAATGAAGTAAGGTCGTAAATGGTTTTTTGAACAAGGGGATGCGTTACAATGAATTGAAAATAACAAAAATGGTACAAGCACAATCAATAATGCAAGGAAAGACATTCATTGTTTTTTGGGTTTTTTTTGTGAGAATCGTATACGAATACATCCCAGATAGTTAAGGCGTTCAACTTGAACTAGCGAACAGATAGATTGTGATGTGATAGCAATGAGACACCATTGATCTTAAATACATGTATAGTAATATGCCACTGATTGTGTATTCTTTAAAATAAAAAGTATAATTGTTGAGGGTAACATGATAGGCCTCTCCCCATCAGAGAACTAAAAACTATCTGAAAATAAGAATACATAGCCTCGTGATGATTCTGTTGAACTTTTCATAAATTTTAAACAACTTTTCCATTGCAGAACACAGAAGGCTAAAGCTGCGCATTTCCGGATGTCCCAACTGGATAGTAGATTGTTCTATAAATGACATCACCTCTTTAGACGACGACAGTTTTGTTGTGACGTATACCAACCAGACGGCTCTCCGACGATTCAATTTGGACGGTCTGCTGCTTTCTGAATTCAAGTTCCCGTGGAATCTGGAAGGTGTAACCGCCATAAATGAAACCCATGTGATTGTTGGAGCTCCTGGTAAAAGAACTCTGATCATTCTATCCGTGCCTGGAGGATTCAAAGTTACTGGTCTGATACTCTTAGAGGAACCATGCGGATCGGATATTGATCAAACCCCGGCTGGATTATTTCTCGTCGGATGTCGCAATTCGTCAACGATACGAGTGTACAATCCAAAATGGCAACTGCAAGATGTTCTTCAACAAGATGATGGTAAACTTTTAGGTTTGCTGACCCGTAATCAGTCTGAAGAAGCAAAAAATCGACTCCTTCCCAAAAGCCCAAAAGGGTGCAGTTTGGGATGAAATCGGTAGAATATGGTATATGATATCCAATGTATCGAATGAAGTTCAGAGAGTCAGTCATAATGGACTCAGAAAGAAGACTCTATTCTATGTCAGAAAACCGACAGCCATTTCGTATCTCAGTCGTCAAGGTAAACTGGTTATCGGGACAGCAAAGGGAAGCATTTATATTGCTTCTGTTTAACAACGACCTCCTGGCACGATCTTACCTGAGCCATCCATCACCGTATTCACCTATACCCCTCACTCGCCCCTCAACGATATTTTGGAACATCAGGTGCCTGATGTTCAAAATCTTTCGCAGTATGTAAAACATAAATGTATTTCCCTTTATCGTTTGAATGTCAACCGACATAACGGCTCCATACCTTTATGTTTAAACGTATTAAAGTATGTACTAGCTTTAACTTAATGGTAGGCTTTTGGTACTCAGATTTAGGCAATATATCTGGTAACAATGTAAAATCATTCTTAGTTATCAGAGATTAGAGTGGTTGAAAGGTAACAAGTTACTATCCAACAGAAGGCACTGGCACAGGATTAAAGCAATGTTAAGGTTAAAATGGAAATTCGTACTCGTAGTCCAAAGACCTAAAAAACAAAAAAACTGAGAAAGTAATCCAATTGCTAGTAAATATTTCTTTTCAACAAAATTGACTTATTCTCAAATTATTTTCTTCCAGTTTTAAACCTGATTAAAGACTTTCTATATTACTATTTCAAAATATACCAAGTTGATCAGCGCATATCTATTATAATGCCAATAAATCAGACCAATATTTTATTTAGTAGATGAAGCACAATGTTACTAGTAATTGAAGAGAGTAGATCTGATGATTACTGGTGATGAATTTGATAAAAATTAACGAACCACGCCAATCAAAATGACTACTTGAAGTTAATATAGAGAAGTTTTATAAATTGGTGTCATATAAAGTCAAGATGTGTATTGAGATAAGGGTTATTGAACTTAGTATAACGCTCATTACTGCTTTAACATGAGCCTTCAATGAAAGCCTGAAAATGATGCTGCCAATATATAATCTGACATAGTCAGTCTCTTCAATGCTGGTGTACATCTCCATTCGACACTTAGTACCAACGTACACTCCATCTGTCGCGTGCAGTTCGTGCAGGTACAGACGTAATTTCTTTCATTCAATTCCGATCATCGCTTTCACGAGTTCGTTGTTCTTTGAACGGACTGTCCGTTCTCATCCTACTACGGTTTATTCTTTCGAGCAGAAAGTTCATCTATAGGTTCAGATGAGTAACACCATATTTGTAACTTATATTCCGTATTCATTGCTCTTGGTCGTGACTTTTCCGGATAATTACCAGCAGTCAACGGTCAATGTTTTGGATAGTCGTTGTCTCGGACATTCTTTTAAATAAGAGAAAGATACTTGTTATGGTCAGCATCTTCGATGGTCTTCGGCTTTCACATAGTTCCACGAAAGAAAGAAATTCCTGCTACGTCAGCGTTTTCGATCTGTGGCTCGAACACCCTTACACGAAAGAGAAAGACACCTGTGACCCAGCACAGTTAATGTTTTTGATGTGGTTGGTTGGCACATCCTTCCATGAAAGAGAAAAATTCTTGCTTCGGTCAGTGTTATCGTTGTTCTCCGGATACTCCTTTGAGTTTGAGATATCGGCTTTCTTTAGTCAATGACTCGCACATTCTATTAAAAGAGGCGACTATGGATTCAAGATGTCTCAAAAGAACTTGGTTTCGATCTGGTTGGTCTCCTTATTCCTGAGAAAGTTGCCATTGTTTCTGTCTACACGGTAACGCAATCGGGGCCTGAAATAAAAGATATAGTCTAATTATATAAGGATATGAAAGAAATTATTCATTTAACCTGATGATATATCTATAGGCTTTATACACGTCATACCCGTAGTACCTTTTAGAATGAAAATTGGACACCACATCAAAATATTTCGTCACCAACGACGCCATGTTTAGTAGTTTCTATATTTCTTACCTTATTTCAGTAGGTCCAGCCTCACAACATAAAAGTTTCTTAGCACATTTTCGAAATAAAGGATTGCTCATGTAGTACACTACTGGATTGACCATACATGAAGCTTTAGCGAACATAGTGGGCCAGGTGGTAATCCAGGCAGGTAGGGTATTATCATGTACAGACCATAGACAGACGAAGGCATACGGCGTCCATAAGATGATGAATGTCGAGGTCATAATGACACTCATCTGTAATAAAAAAAAAATCAAAATCATTTGACAACAACCCCGATCTTTAAGAGATTGTATGGAGATTCTTTAGTCTGTATAAGTATTGTAGCTTCCATGTGCAACATTCCAATATCCCGTTTATAATTCTACAAAAACTTAATGACCAAATATGGCGTCACTATCATAAAAACACAATCCCTGACAGAGAAAATGCTCAATAATGTAGTTCAGTTCTTGGGGTTACAATTCTGATAGTTACTGGAATTGCAGGAAACCACAGAAGTCGAGAGAGAGATAGGTTGGTGCAAAAGTAAGCTAAAATGTGCCTCATACACATACGAAAAAGATTTTTTTACAATCCCTTTAAATCGATTTCAGCTCCACTATATTATGATGTATTGGGTGTGGCTAGCAGGTAGGGTATGGCACCAACTCTACATACCCATGTAACATGTTTTTCTAGATGAAGTTTTGAACAGCATTCGACTTCTGCCGGTGTTCCAACAGACGGCGAAGAGAGGTCAAGACTGATGTTTAGTTCCTTGGTTCGCCGAACCACGTGGAAATAGCAGACGATCATAGTAATCAGGTGAATGAGGTAACAGAATAATACAAGGCACCATGTATAGGCTTGAGCAAACGGCTCAGAATTCATCCAATCAATACTGCAAGAGGTCCCTGGAATAGGTATAAATAGATATTTTTACTCCATCAAAGGAATTCCAACAAAACAATTATATTATTAGCTATGTGAACTCTCTGAAAGGAATTTCCAGGTCCCTTTTATCAGAAGTATGTACAAGTAAGGTGGCGCTTGAATTGTGTTCCGGTGCTTCAGGATTAGTGGAATAAACCGGAAGTTTAATTAAACAAGTCAGAATACATTCCACGTGTGCCAAAGATGATGTAAGGAGATTTCAAAGACAATTTTTTTCACTATGTAAAATGATATAAATTTGAAAGTAAGGGGAGGGGGGGCGCCGGATCAGTCTCTTTACTGGGGAGCAATAGCCTTCTCCCTCCTGGCTCTCCATAGAAACGCCACTGTTCCAACGTGCTATAGCCGTCTTCAAAATCAGTTCTGTAATCAGTTCTTCACGCTATCCTATTAAATAATCTATAAACTTAGTTATTGACAAGGGTACAATTAAAGAATCTAAGAATCTGATCCCGCTCACTCATAGTTTCCATACAAACATAGTCTTATAATTGTTATACCCCGAAGGAAAGGATTGCCAGTTTCCGGTCAATTACAGGAAAGATTACTATATACAGCGAATCAATACACTTACAGAGATGTCACGCAAATAATACACCAATCTTAAAATAAATACCTAACCTAACTCACTGAGATGATAGATCTTGACATTCAGTGCGGTGGAAGGTGAGTGAAAAGGCTTCCCCCAACTACTGTTAAATTTTTTTTATTACTGAGATCTTTACTTCCTGGTGACCCTCCATAGACAGTTCTGTGCCCCCTACTTGATCCGTCCACCCTAGGATTTCTAAAAACGCCCAGTTTTCAGTATTATAACAATCTAATTTGAATTGATCACATTTCGATTTTTTTCCTTGATATTTTTGTCAGAGTTTTAATCTAACAGGTTTTCTACCACAGTCCCATCCAAATGACGTTATATTAACCAATCAAAGTATGTCTTGTAAGACCGGATTCCTAGTAACAATGTAATAAAACAAAACCAAACGCTTTCAAAGTTGGGGAAATGGAGAGAGTTGGCTCTTAATGGACTGGAGTGTATCTACATTGTTACAATACTTACCAAATGGTTCAAATATATAAGAATTCCAACCCAATAAAGGTGGAACTGTCCACAGAAAGGAGTAACACCATAAAAATACAATAATCCGTAATGTACACTTTATATCCAACTTATTGACTGAAATAAATTCAAAATATAATCTTTAAATGACATTTAGAAGTAGGTAGAACATTCAGCAAGAACAACTATTATAGATATACTACTCTTTTAATTTAATATGAATTGAATTGAAACGTTGCAAAAATTAAATTAAAGGAGTAGTATATCCATAATAGTTGTCCTTGCTGAAAATTCAAAATAGTATCATTAATAAACTGGTGGTGGATAATCTTTATAGTCAGGCTTGTAAATAAAATCAAAACCACCCAACAACACCATCTGGTCAAACCAGAAGTTAGAAATAGCATCAATTTGCCCCATTTCAATTTTCAATCAGACGTCTGTGGTTCCCTCAAATAACACTAAAACAAAGTGTTTGATGACGTCACTAATCACACAAGGCCCTTTGCGACCAGTGCCTGCGAGACAGTAATATTTCATTGACAAAAAACCATCCATGTTTGAACACATGGAGATAGAATTATGTTTAAAGTTCTATATATGTGAAGCTGGCATACACCTGTCGTTTTTTTTTTAAAAAACAAAGCATTTTTTTTACAAACTGAGAGAAAAGATAATTAGTAATTAGTACTTTCACGAAGTAAACATTTCAATTGTTTAATTAAGTATTTATAAACTTATCTAAATCATAATTACGATGTCTGTTCTTTTTTTTTTACTTATTTTTACTTATTCAGTTCTCGATTAATGCTAAAAAGTAGAACATTTACTCCATTTAATTTCATTTCTGTTATCATTATTGGATTGAACCTTAGTTGATCAATACTAATATTAATAGTTGATGAAATATGAAGTCTTTTTTAGCCTTGAGCCTTGTTAATTAATTTCCTTTATCGAACCATTAACAAGTAATGACAGATTGATTAAATTCTAATTAACAATATAGAAATGGTTTTTAATACAATGATAACAAGGCAAAAGTTTCATTTTGAAGGGTTTGTATCTTTTTGTCACTTCTAAAAGCTGTCCTGCTTTAATTTTCTAGAAAAAAGCTCATGGCTTTAACTAATATTATCTAAATTACAAAGACTTTTTGTGAGGATTAAATACAATGAATATCAGATCAGATCAGATCACATTATCTTGCTATATAATAAGGCGTTGAAACCTAAAACATAATACTCCAATGAGAGCGACTAATGAAACAGTGCTAATCGTCGTTAATTGATAAATATTATTTAACCAAAATAAAGAATCCATAAGCCATTTAATTAAGAAAATTCTTATTACTTCGAAGCTCCCGAAACGGGGGGTACAAAAACATGGAAGTCTGACTGTTTGGAAGGGGGGGGGGGACAACTGTCGAAGCTTAATTCAAAATGTACACTCGAGGGTTCTCCCAAGACCAAACGAAATCCAAAACAACATATTGGCAATACATTGGTAGCAGGTGGCTAAAAGCTGAAGCATACCCTGTCAATCTATCTATGTCTAGTATAAAACTCTCGTTGGAACTGTTTATAAATGTCAAACAGCCAAAACCGGCATTCACAACTATCAATGGAACTATCTGAAATTCTATACTCAAAATTATTCTAGACATGTTAAACACTAATCAACACAACATAACACGTTTAAGGCCATAAACGGATGATCTAGCTTGCTAGTAGAATAATTTTATTCAGATTATATTACACCAAGTTAATAGAATTGTAGACACAGCTTTAAGGAAAAACAGTCACTTTTTAAAAGTTGTATGCAACGTTTCGACATTTTCCCCCGTCGCAGAGAATGATAATAGTTGACAGGCAAACTATTAATTTAAAACAAAACCTTATAGCCCTTTCAGTTCTAGGTTAAACATGTGTATCATTGCCGAAGCGAATAAATTGATACTTAGACCACATATCAATGTGTCAAATATGTCTGAATTTACCTATGATGTTATAAAACTACTTTCCGACTTCGCTCTAGAGGCATTTCGCGTAGCCCTTATTCTGTTTGCATGTACATCCAGGGGATACTAAGGCTTTATAGTGATGTGATTATTGTGTGGCAGGGTTTGCGAGCGAAACAGGCTATGTTAAACCCAGTGTCACTCGAGCTGAAGGCGATTGTATTTGTGAAGTTGGCACCACTTTCGAAGAGTACACATAGATACTAATGCTAATCTATAGTTGTATGGTTATTGTTGATGGATAGACATGCGTCTGTTTATCCTTATGATATGTATTATCAAAGAATATCGGTGATTGTTTGTGAGCTTAATCTCTTTACCTTTGGCGTTATAAATATTAGTATAATACACAATGTAATCTGTTTTCTCCGTGGCCTTGTCTAGTCCTCTTTGTAAAGAAACCACACGCTTTATGTAAGTTTTATGTTGACTATTCTTCTTAAAGCCGACTTTAATTCCTTACACATAATTACTTTTGCCACAGATTATAACTCCTACATCTACATGAAAGTTATAAGATATTATGAAAGATTGATTTGAGATCCGGTTACTGGCAAGTAGCAATCATTAGCTACGCGAATTATCGTTCACTCAGTTCTTGAGTTTAAAGTTTAATGTTTCCTCTTTTGGGATGTTTGTCATATTGTGAATATCATAATAAAGAGGCAGATCACTATTAAAATCGTATTTTAGCTCGATGTCATATTGTCAACTTTAGTTAAAAGGGAAGGATCATGCGATATCAGTATTACTCTGTCTCGGGAATAATCTCTCATCAATATAATATTACCAGATCAGACAGCGTGAGGGATAATAAAACATCAAAATAACATTATTCTTTATGTGGAATCTCCTTATTATATCTCTCAGACCTCAGACGTTATAGCTTGACATTGTGAAGATATAAAACTCCGATAGATGAATTTATATTTGAAAAAGATCTTGAACCTTTAGTTGTAATTATACCTATTGATATTGTTCTTTAAAAACTTCATGTTATCTTTATATATAGAGGAGGCTCTGTCTTTCAGAAATCAAGCTACCTCATCTTAACGCCATTTATCATATGTTATTTAGTATTATTTAGTATATGTTATGCAATGTTGTAATTTATTTTATTTGAAACACATTGTAATCGGTCTCAGACCTTATATACTGTAAATAAACATTATTATTATTATATAAAAACGTAGCTCCAATATGATGTTAGATTTTCTTTTTAAACTTTTTTAAGGATAGTTTAAATTGAATTCTTTCAGCTTTTTAAACAAACATTGTTATACTCAAGTCATGACTATACGGTTATACATAGTGATTAAAGAACAAAACATGAGTCCTTGGCGCTAATCAAAAATAGATCGACAATAATGAATCTACATGTATAAGAAAGTAAATTAAAAGACAGATATTAAACCCGTGGTCCGGAGGTGGGCGAGGGCACATAAGCGCCACCTGCGTAATGTTTTTCCGGTGGGTGTTCTAAAAGGGTCCACTTACTGTAATGAGGTTTACAAACAGTGATGTATCTATATACACTTAAACAGGCCAGAGTGTTCATATCTGTCAGGGCCAGAGTAAACGTTAAAAATCCCTGAATTATACACCCAGTTGATCCAAACAAATATCGTTGAGCAAAGTTGGAGGCAGTAGTTAATGGGTATCCACACAATGAGACTCCAAAATCTGATATAGCTAGGTTCAGTAACAGCATGTTATGTGGCTTCCGTCTCAACTTTCTATCCCTGGCGAACATCACCAACACCATTAGATTTCCTATTGTTGCTATGATGCCTGAAACGATATATGGAATGGTTACAGAAAAAAACCAACGAATTAATCAAATAAATGATGGAAGTAATACATACAAAACAAAGCTGTTACAGGCCATGGTTCGCCTTTTCCATAGTTGATTTGTGTCTTGAATTTACGTAAAAAGTCTTCAGAAGTAATAGAACTGCACGATAATCGCATAATTCCTTCAAATATACCTCAAACTATAAATTCCACTTTCTTTATCTATATATGGCGGAGTATCAAGAAAAGACGAGTCGTCATTTTAACATTCAAAAATAATTCTGCACATACATGGATTTCAAGGCTCAAATTTAGACGGTGAGCTTTCGAGTTGCATTCGAATCTGTATTCCTACTATTAAGTTTTGATATATTTTTTTTTTTACCATTTTTTCAGAGTTGCTGATAAACACTTTTTTTCGCTATTACCCCCTGCTCTTACACTCTCATTTTCAAATTGACCAGAACCGATAATTTCACATCCATTTCATCAATACATGGGTGTTGCTAAAGATAAACTGTTCAATCCATCTTGAATATCTATTGAAAAGCCATTATTCGGAAACCCTGATGTCACCCTGCGACTAGGTTTATCAACTCGGCACCCCTTTTGAAGATTCCACAAACGCAATATTGTTTTGTTTTTTTTTTTGGTATGAGGATTTTCAACTTGACACCTTTTCTGAGAATCCAAAGCCAATGTTGCATCGGTTTGTATATCTACTAAACCTTTAATTTCTTACCTGTTATTAACAGGTAAATCCCTGTAGCATAATATCCAGATCGGGACAGAGGACGTATTCCATATTGCTCTATAATTATATCCCATTCGGATTTCTCCTGGGTAAGATTATACCCGGACACAGTCTGGTTCATGATCACCAACATAACGATTGTCCATTGATAATCACAATCAGTCACATTGTCAAGAATGAAGCGAGGGACGAACTGTGATAGAATTCACTGTTGTAACTAACTAGCTGCTTCCCGACTCTCCTCTCAAAAGGCATCGATTTTTTGTCCTAATAGTTAACTGGTTATATCTGCGGCCTATGACACACGGTATTATTACCGTAAAAATAACACTTTATATAACTAATATTGATACGCCCACATCAGCTCAGCATCTCTCTGAGGACGCATATGCGTCTGTCCCTTCACTCTCCCAAACGCTTTAGAATAAAAATAAATCATTAAAAGACCATGAAGTTCGAATTTGAACGTTTCCGAAAATTCGGATAAGAGTTATCGTACTTGTCAAAAATAAGTCATAGTAGTTGCCTGTGATGATCATTTCATTTACAATTCGAATTTGAAGACTTTTGGTTGATTAGAAACAGTGTTATTGGCCTTGTCCCCGAATTTATTGTCGCTTCCCGGTTAATATAAATAGAGCTATAGACCTTTTCGAGAATAAAACCAGAGTTTTCGCCCTTGTGCCAATACTTTAAAACGACAACGACTCGAGTTTCAGATAAGCATCACGTAATCCGCAAGAATGAATATAAGAGTTTTCTTTGTACATCAAATGTACGGATTCCAATCTGTAGACATCATAATTGGGTTATCAGCAGAATAGATTATAGATAGAAGATAATTCAATGGTCTAGCTCACTTATCTCCCTTTCCATTCTCTCTAATAGATATTGACAGGGCTTCTGAATGAACAGCGGCGTTCCTATGGAGGGGGTGGGGGAAGCGGTACCACCAAACCAGAATTTATGCTGGCCCGGGTTTTGCCTCCTCATTTTGATTTTTCATCATTGGATATTGGGAAAAATTCCCTGTTGCGACCCACCCACCCCCACCTGCTTTACAATTCTTGGTCTATCACTGTGAATGAATCAAATCTCTGTGAAGCCCTTCCTTTCAAAGTGTTTATATGGTTTTGTCAAACCCGTGATCCACTTTTACTGTTTCCTTCGACTTGAGGATCTTAGCCGCTATGGAACCCCGAACATTCATTTTGATTACCAAGCCAGCTCTTAACCGGCATTAAGAAAGGGATTCTAACCAAATGATGGGTGTGAAAGCTACGTCATAATATGGCCATGCTATTCTGTAGCCCGACAAATTTACCCCTACCAGTTCCTCTGACGTGATAATATACGAATGTGTTGTCGTAACCGTGGACTAGCTTTTCTGGTTCGAGTCATTTTTCACCCAGCGCCCGACCTCCCTACATTGCGACTGTGACTTTACAGACCACCTACCACACATTGACAATGACACATGACAGAGCGATTCTGTGATTGTAACTGGTACAAATTGTCAGTGTAAATTCCGCCGCTATATAATAGTTAGTAAGAGAAATACGTCACAGTCTCTGTTTATTTACAGATTAAACTCTTTCCTTTTACACCGAGAAAAATAAACCACAGTATATCGTCTGTATAAACTTCCCGAGCTAGCTATATTCCTTATTAACATTTTTCTCGCCGAGTTTCTGTTTTCGCACGTGTACAGAGATATGCATACTAATTATTCTTCTTCCCGCCTTTCTTGTGTTTGTAAGTCATTGAGTGAAACTGGAGACTCAAGATTGGGTGAATTGAACGGTATCCTTGTTGTATCAGCTGAAATTCATCTGTACAAAGTTAAAAATCATTATTATATTCTACTTTTTACCAGGGTGTGTTCGTTTCCTCTACTCTCGATAATTAAGCCACTTTAATTTTAATAAATTGCGGGAAATTTCTGTTAAATTTAGTAAAAACTTTATGTTAGAAAAGATATTTTTTGAACATAAGAGACCATTAAAATTTAAATTTCGTTTCATGTTTTTTTTTCAATTTGAATTACTTACCCTTGAATAAATGGCATAATAAGAAAAACTAACTTTCAACTTGATGAACATCCCCCACAAAACTTGGGCCATTCTTAGAAAACAAGTCTCTTGTATCATATTGAAAGCGTTAACGAAAGTGAGCGCTTGAGGTAATATGGTCATAAAGCAAGTTAACGTTATCGAAATTTAAAAATAATCTGAAATTTTGGAATGATGTACATAATCTTCAAGGTAACACGAATTCGAAAATGACGTGTATGCTCTACTTTGCTACAAATTTGCAGTGGCTGCCCAAGGACAGGAGGGGGTGTACAAATAGGGGACAGACTGACTTAATAGCGGGATAATCGTCGAGGATGAGATTCCAAAATGCGGCAGTGGAAGCGCATAGGCAAGAGCTTTCATCTGACCATCTGAAATGGTTCTCCACATGAACGTGTTTGAAAAATAAAATTGATTCTGTAATGCCCACTGGCGGTGCCACTAACTGATATGACGTTGAACTGGACTCCTGTTGTGTTTGCTTATCGCTACGTTGCGAAGCTTTAGTTAACCAGTTTAATATGACGCTGTGCTTTATTCTTTTAATTCTCTATCGAGAAGAAGAGAATATCCTTAGAACGAAAGTGACAAAATTATGTAATAATCTCTAATTAATACTGTCATTAACTGGTTTTAAGAAACGATTTTTACGCTGAAATGGGATGTACTGTCCACCTAGAATGGGAGAAAAAGGACGTTTACAAAACAAAAATGAATTAAAAGCTACTTTCAAGTCTGGAACTGTATTTTAATTAAATTAATGTGACGTCAGCTCTGGAAAGAGTTATTACACTCTCCATATAGCTCTGTTCATCATCTTCTTAAAGTTCATGGATCGTGGTTGATCGTGGGTTGA